GGCTATTAAAGTTAATGTAACAACATAGTTTATATTGGTAAGTATTAAGAGAGTTGTGAGCAGTATTTTTTGTTTTTCTGTTTTGTTCTGTTGTTTTATGTGGGGGGCCCACATCCTGCAGGGCCCAGGGTGACTTATTCCTGGTTCCGTGCTCAGGAATCATTAGTGCTGATGCTCGGTGGAACATTTGCAGTGCCAGGGAGTGACTCAGAGTTGCCCCATGCAAGGAAAGGGTCTTAATCTCTGTACTATTTCTTTGACCCTGGATTTTGTTTTTATGTCAAAACAATTAATTGTGGTGTATTTGAAAACTCTGGTAATAACATTATTTTCTGAAGATAAGTGTTGGTATACAATGATGATTCACGATTCTTATTTTTTTTAATTAAAATATAGGAAATGAAGGGGGCTGGAGAGATAGTACAGTAGGTAGGGTGTTTGCTTTGCAAGAGAACAAGTTGGTTGAATTCCTGGCATCCCATATGATTCCTCAAGCACTACCATGAGTAATTTCTAAGCACAGAGTCAGGAGCAGAGAATGGAAAGAGTTTCCCAAAGAGTGACTAGCTGCAGTAGAATTCATATTTTGGAGTGTTATCTCTAATTTGGGGAGAGAAGTATTGTTGCCATCAATATTTTCTCTTATATCAAGGGAGTCTAGCTGAATACTTTAATTTTGGTTTAGAAATTTAACGGTAAAGTTACCGTATGTCTATTTCATAGTTCATATTGGAGAAACACAGTTTTGTTTTTTAATTTTTTGAAAAATTTATTTGGGCCACACCTACCAATGCTTGGGCATTACTCCTAGTTCTACACTCAGAAATTACTCTTGGAGATGCTTGGAGACCATAGAGGATACTAGCGATGGAACCCTGATTAGTCGCATGTAAGGTAAATGCTTTTCTATTGTACTATCTCTTTGGCCTCCTGAGAAACACAGTTTTGAGTGTAGTATTTATTCTTTTTAAATTTTTTTTAATTTTTGGATCTCATCCAGAGATGCTCAGGGTTCTGAGCTCAGCATTCAGGAATCAGTCCTGGTGGTGCTTGGGGGATCATATGAAATGCTGGGGATTGAACCTGGGTTGGTTGTGTGCAAAGCAAATGCCCTACCCATTGTACTATCATTCCAGCCCAATAATTATTCTTTGAAGGATATAAAGTGTAAAAACATTTATATTCTTTAACTAAGCAAATTTTACTTTTGAAAAGAATTTTAATATAATTCAAAAAGAGGAAAAGAGCAATATGTACTGATACTTTGAAAAACTAGTAACAGTTAGTAATAATTATTACTGAAGTATACTACTATTTTATTAAATCTAGTAATGATATAACAATTAAGAAATGGCTCAATAATCTCTCTCTTGAATTGATGTACTATTCAGCACTACATTTAAAATTCAATATAGAAAAATGTCAATATCTGAGGATATGGCATCTTTCTCCGATGCATTGAAATGCCAACAACATAGTCTGATAATTCATTCTTTCATTTTGCTGTTGTGTCAGTGGGAAGCCCTGTGTTTATTATTTTTAAAATTTTTTTTGCTCTTTGGGTCACACCTGGCGATGCACAGGGGTTACTCCTGGCTCTGAACTCAGGAATTACTCCTGAGTGCTGGGGGTGGGAGGGACCATATGGGATGCTGGGAATCGAACCCTGGTCAGCAGCGTTTAAGGCAAACGCCCTACCCACTGTACTATTGCTCCAGCCCCTGGAAGTCCTATGTTTAATACCTCCTTGAAGGCCTGTGCTTTTTTTTTTTTCTTTTTGGGTCACACCCGGCGATGCACAGGGGTTACTCCTGGCTCATGCACTCAGGAATTATTCCTGGCGGTGTTCGGGGGGCCATATGGAATGCTGGGAATCGAACCCGGATCGGCCGCATGCAAGGCAAATGCCCTACCCGCTGTGCTATCGCTCCAGCCCCCAAAGGCCTGTGCTTTTACACGTGAGCCACAACACTGGCTGGATAAAGCCAACTTTATCCAATATCTCAAATCTTAAACTATGGATCACAGCCCCATGTTGTAACTGAACGTGGGCACTACCAAAAAATTGACAACAGTAAAATGTTTCTGCACCTGCAATGACCAAGAATTAATAAAAACAAATGTGTAATGAACCCAGGGTGTTTTTGGCAGTGCCAACCTACATTGCATTTTTGGGTGAAAAGGAATTACGCGTGGAAAAGTGTAAGAAATGCTGATCTAGGGCCAGAGCGATAGTACAGTGGATACGGCATTTGCCTTGCACTTGGCCCTCGACCCACCCAGGTTCAATCCCCAGAATCTCATATGGTACCCCCAACACTGCCAGGAGTAATTCCAGAGTGCAGAGCCAGGAGTAACCCTTGAGCTGACTCAAAAAGATAAAAAAATAGAAAAGAAGATAAAAAGAAATTCTGATCTAGTACACAAGAAAAATAGTCTTAGATAAGGCATACATGAGTGCCAAGTATTATAAAGCATTACATTTAAAATTCAATATAGAAAAATGTCAATATCTGAGGATGTAGCATCTTTCTCCTATGCATTGAAATGCCAACAACATGGTCTGATAATTCATTCTTTCATTTTGCTGTTGTGGGGACAGTGTCAGTGGGAAGCCCTGTGTTTATTATTTTTAAAAAAATTTTTTTTGCTTTTTTGATCATACCTTGTGATGCACAGGGGTTACTTCTGGCTCTGCACTCAGTAATTATAATAATTACTTTATATTATTATAAAGCAGCCTTGTAAGTGAGAGGCTCTGGGTTTGATCTGCAGGATTGTATAAATGAAATAAATAAATGTGTCATATTCCAGGGCCAGAGAAATAACTCAATGAGCTGGAGAGCATGCTTCAAATTCAAGGAGACCTGGGTTCTAGTCTTGGTACCACATGGCCCCTCAAGCACTGTCAGGCCCCTCAAGCACTCACTGAGCCGACAATAGTCCACGAGCATCTCTGGGCGTGACCCCAAAGCCAAAACAAAAAGACATAGTTGAATAGCTCCTTACTGACCTCTGGGAAACAGGAAAAGAAGAGGGTGTCACGTTGGTACTTCTGATGGGTTTCAGAGCCCATTAAAAACTGCCGGCAACTCTTGGGATTTCTACCAGATGGCAAAATTGGCATTTGATACGGGATTAACCATACAAAATGTGTGTGTGTGACATAATCCCTTCATCTTTGTCAGCATGGGCCACTGTCAAGAGAACATAGAGGCTAAAATGTCCAGCCGCTGAAAAGCTCCTGGAATTTCTCATTAAAGCCAGGAAATGAACCAATAACACTTGGAAAATGGTTTTGGCTTGGATGCCATCATGAAAGTTGAACTCTCTAGATTATTTTGTTTTGGGACCACACCAGCAGTGCTTAGGGGTTTCTCCTGGCTCTGTGCTCAGGGGACCATATTGGGTGCCGGGGATTGAACCGGGTTTGGTTGCATGCAAGGCAAATGTGCTACCCACTGTACTTCCCTCACCATTTAATTCTTCACTCTCTACATCCACTCATGCTGGTGCCCCGAGCTTCATTGTGGGAAGCCTGCCTTTCACCAGCTTAGCAGATGGTAGGTATGGGCAGGAATATCTGTCAACGATTATAAATTATTGGAAGCCATATTAAAATGGTTATGAAAATTCTTCAAATGACTCATGGGAACATAAAGGGCTGATTCTGAAATTAGGAGTGGAGAATGAACAGGCTACCGAGCTGGTCTCGTTCTATTTGTCAGATAGGAACTTCCTGAGAATAAGGGAAATCTGATTTTTTTTTTTTTTTTTGCTTTTTGGGTCACACCTGGCGATGCTCAGGGGCTACTCCTGGCTCATGCACTCAGGAATTGCTCCTGGCGGTGCTCGGGGGACCATATGGGATGCTGGGAATCGAACCTGTGTCGGCCATGTTGGCTGCGTGCAAGGCAGACGCCCTACCCGCTGTGCTATTGCTCCAGCCCCGGAAATCTGATTTTGAAATGATCACATTTGGGTAGGGGAGCTGCGTCTCACTAAAAATATATGACATTCTTCATTGTTGGAGTCACTCCCATTTTTGAGTCAATGAATGGTTGTGTTTTTCCATGTTGGTTATGAAAAGTCTTTGATTTTAAAATGCTCACTTTCAACTATAGTGTTGTTTTGTCTTTTTCTTCCAGCATCCATTATTCTTCTGGTTTGTACCTCCTGTCCTGGTCTTTTCACCTTGGGAGAATTTCTACCCTTAAGTTAGATCGTAGGAGAGGTCTTCCTCAATGACAGGATGAGAACAACCCCAGTCCTGGCCAAGCAGATGGAGCATGCCAGCCATGCCATGAGCAAAGAAGATTGGGCTTGCAAATGTCATGGGATCTTTGAACACTCAAATTCTCCCTTGGGACTTCTCAGCTTGCCGAAGATGAAGAACTCTTTTTTTTTTTTGTGGGGGTAGTATTTTTGACTCCACTTGGTGGTGCATAGAGCTTATTCCTGGCTCTGTGTTCAGAGATCACCCCTGTTGTGCTCAGGGACGCATATGTGATGCTGGGGATTGAATCAGGGTCAGCCACATGCAAGACAAGTGCCTTAACCTCTGTACTATCTCCCTAGTCCAGAAATTTCTTTTCAAAACATGTGTTTAAAAATAGATAATTGGGAAATGCAAAACAAGTGAGAAAAATGTGTAAGTCCCTTCAGGGGCTGCAGGGCTTGGAGGGGTGGTGCTGTCATGTCTGTTGTAGGGAGAGCCTGATTTCCTAATAAACCCAAAACAGAATTTGGAACCGAGGCAGAGACATGTGGATCCTCTTAAGTTCCTTCGTCCATTGGAGTTGGACATCTCTGATACGGGCGTGCTTGCCTCTGCCTGGGCTGATTTAGGAGGCTTTCCTTTACTTGCAAAATATGTCACTCAATAAGAAAACCTTAAAAAAAGCACACAATCAATAATTTTTAAAATATTGTTTATTTTTGAAGTATTTGCAAAATATAAATACAAAAATTTCTTTAAGAGAGTTACAGGAGAAAGAGGGGATATTTTAGACATATTATATAAAGGTCATCAGTATTTTTTTTTCTTTTTGGGTTACACCTGGCAATGCACAGGGGTTACTCCTGGCTCTGCACTCAGGAATTACTCCTGGTGGTAGCTCAGGGGACCATAGGGATTCTAGGAATCGAACCCGGTTCAGCCGCGTGCAAGGCAAACGCCCTACCCGCTGTACTATCACTCTAGCCCCAAGGTCACCAGCATTTTAATTTTACTTGTCCCAAACATTAACTTCAGCTCTACTGAAATAGGAGGTATCAACTAAAAATTTTATTTTATTTTCCAGCTAAAAATTTTAAAGAAAGTAACATAAATGTCATTATGAGATGTAACAAAGGTTAATCTTTTAACCTTAAAGTACCCTTAAAGTACCCATATAGCAAAATAATCAATGCCTCAAGCTTATCAAGGTCTCTGATTTGGAGTTATTTTCAAGGCGGTGAATGAACGGAAACAATCACTCCTATGTGAGCACTCTCGTATGCTGCTCTTGGCTATGTGATGAACTAGTTTCCTGGCTGTTCCTTCACCGTTCACTTCGACAGGACCGTGGAACAGTTCTGCTTTGACAGTTCCTGCGTGAGATCTTCATACACTTGTGCAAAGAGGTCTTCTTCAGACTTCATTCCATCCAGGTAAACTGAGAAGGAGAAAAGAGAGCAGGCTGCAGTGTGGGCAAGCGTTTCACTAGATGTTTACTCTGGCACTTTGATCATTTGAGAATATTAAGAGGTTTATTTATTTTATATTATCATTTATTTTATTTATTTTATAATTTAGGGGGAATACGGTTGGGCCACAGCCAGCGATGCTCAGAGGCTTTTCCTGATCCCTCCTGTTGTTCATCGATTTGCTCGAGCGGGCCCAGTAACGTCTCCATTGTGAGACTTGTTGTTACTGTGTTTGGAATATCGGATACGTCATGGGGAGCTTGCCAGGCTTTGCCGAGTGGGCGAGATAGTCTTGATAGCTTGCTGGGCTCTCCGAGAGGGGCAGAGGAATTGAACCTGGCTTGGCTGGGCTGGCTGCACACAAGGCAAACGCCCTACCGCTGTGCTATTGCTTCCAGGAATTATTCCTGATGGTGCTCAGAACCCTGTATGTGGTGCCTGGGCTCAAACTTGCATTGGTCACATGTAAGGCAAGCCTTCTGTTCTATCTCTCCTACCCCAAGGATATTAATTTATTTAACTAAAGAGCCTAGACTACCCTGGCAGCAAGGTGGCTACCACCTCAGAGCTTATAGGAAAGCCAGGTACGAGCCGGAGGTGAAGGGGCAACTGCAGTCTCATGGGAAGGGGGGGCAGTACTGGCACGTCCTTCACGCCCTACTGAGGTCATGAGTTACCCCCCACAAGCGGCTCTCCAGCATGGCCATAACACCGGACACACAGAAACCAATCTCGTAATTATCTGGCTCTTTGCAGAAATCCAAAATCGTGGCCGCGTGACATTATATGATTCTCATAACCAGCTATAGAAAACAAAATATTTCACAATGCCTTTTCAGCAATTCTGATTGTTTGGGAGGAAATTCTAAACAATAATGGTGCATCTTTTGTCAAAATAATGAATGTAATCAATGTAGAGAAAAGTAGAAATCATCTGCCTCACAGGCATTTGGAGGGGTGGGAGGGCGGGTATACTGGGGTTCTTGGTGGTGAAAAATGAGTACTGGTGAAGGGAAAGGTGTTTGATCATTGTATGACTGAGACTTAAACCTGAAAGCTTAGTAACTTTTCCCACAGTGATTTAATAAATAAATATAAAAAGAAAAAAAAATAACTAAAGTTCAGGTGGAGTTCATGCCCAATTCAATCAGCTAATCAATGGCTGAATAAATAGCAGTTCTCCTACAAAAAAAAAAGAGCCTAGACTAAGGAAAGCTGAAGGGCTGGGAGCCGGTGGGTATGGCCCATGAGAGGCCCAGTGACAAGAGCAGGAAATCCCAGCAAGGGACACACTTGACAGGCCACTGATTCCAGACTCGAAAAGCAAGTACTGAACAGAGAAACACATAGGGACAAGACTCCCACTGTCCACTGGAGGTGAGCAAGTGTGAGGGACAGGACAAGGACATCATAATCTGGACTGGGCACCGGGGGACGGGACCTTACTCCTGGGTAAAAGGAGAGGCCTGGGCATTGGGGACGGACCTGAGTCCATCTACTTAAAACGTGCAATGTGTTTCTTAAGCATCTGAGGTTTGTATGCGAATCTTTCATCCAAATTCTCGAGAACCCGGGAGCTCAGGAATAAATCACTTTCCCACTAATACATTTCTCTACTACAAATATTTGACGCTGCTTTCAGGCGTTGTTCTTCTCTTCCCTTTCTGGCTTTTTGGTGTGCAAGACTGCTTTATAGCAATCCTCTATCTGCCCACAGACATTTTTTTTTCTAATTTTTTTTTGGGGACGTCACACCCGGCGATGCACAGGGGTTACTCCTGGCTCTGCACTTAGGAATTACCCCTGGCGGTGCTCAGGGGACCATATGGGATGCTGGGGATCGAACCCAGGTCGTGCAAGGCAAACGCCCTACCTGCTGTGCTATTGCTATGCTATTGCTCCAGCCCCCACAGACATTCCTGTGGGAAGTTGGCCCTTTAACTGACCAAGGCCTAAGTGCCTGTGCTACGTGACCTGCAACAGGCAAGGCCAGTGCTAGGTATGGTTACCTTGAGGTATGGTGATAACAAGAAGTAACTATCTCTTGCCTAGTATGTGATGCCTATAAATCATACGGACATGGCCCTTTGTGTAGCAAACCTCCCTAACCATATATGGGCACGACCTTCTGTGTAGCTGCCTCACTAATGAATATATACCCTGATTGCCCCCAATAAAGTCTGTCCCTTTTTCTCTCTTTTTCTGAGCTGCATTCTGTCTCTTGTGTCTCGTGTTCATTCGGTCGGTCCTTCTCAGCACCTACGGATCCTAGGGCCACCTCTGCAGGCTGGAGAGCGGTCTGGCGCCCCCCCCCCCCCCCCCCCCCCGCACATTCCCTTGTTCAGTTAAACACATCAAAGGGTGGTTGAAAAGTGGCTTCCTGAGACTGGTAGGTCGATAGTGTAGTGTGAGGGTGTATTAACATACATCTGACCTGGGCTTGATTCCTGGTACCTCATAGTTCCCTGAGCACTGCCCGGGATTGTCCTGGAGACTCCCCATCACTACTCTGGAGTAGTTCATTGTTGAACTGGAGGTCCCAACACCTTCAGGGGGACCTCCTTTGGCCCTTGCACTGAATAGCCACTCCTATTGGCTAAGAACAGCCAGTGAACAACACTTGCCAGTCCCTCCATATCCTCCCCAAATGGGGTCAACTCAAGGAAGCCTTCCCTTACCACTGGGACTCAGGAAGTTCCTGTCGCAGAACGTGATGCACCTAGAACACACAGCCAGTGTTTCACGTGTATTAACTGGTACTGGAACGTGGATTTCATAAAAGTAGGGTGTTTTTTCAATGTATGTCCTTTGTTGTCACCAGGGTGATAAAATACTTGTCGAATGAATGGCATCTAGAAATTGACAGGCTTTGACAGAAGGCATGGGGGTGGGGGGTGGGGAGAAAGGGAGGGAGGAGGGAAAGAGAGGAAGTGAGAGAGAGTGAGAACGAGAGAGAGAGAGAGAGAGAGAGAGAGAGAGAGAGAGAGAAAGTGCCTACCATAGAGGCAGAGCCTGGTGTCAAAATTGAGCTCAGAATGCAGAATGTTCTGGCCTAAAGAGTTCTCTTGGAATGAGCTTTTTGGGAAACAACAAAACTAATGAGAAATTTCCCAGCCCTGAAGTAGCCCAAAGTCATGAGGATCGCCTCCATTTGAGATGAAATTCCTGGGCTCTTTGGAGGTGGAGAAACTGAGGCACCACCCAGAGGCATAAACCAGGCCCCTTGTCCCCTGGAGGAGTGACCCCTCAGAAAAGAAGCCACAGGAGAATCTCAACGTCCTGATAAACATATGGAAGGACCATCACGAGTCAAAGGATTTTTCTATAAACACCCAGATTCACTTTTTGTTTACGTGTTTGATTTTGGGGGGGTCACACCCAGCAGTGTTCAGGGTTTATTCCTGGTGGTGCTCGGGGCACCGTATGTGGTATTGAAGAATGAATCCCATTTAGCCGAGTGCAGGGCCTTTGCCCTGCCTCCTGTACTAGCTCTCTGGCACCAGATTAATTTTTATGCATGTGAAGACTCTAGACCTAGACAGTCTGGAGAAATGGTATATACCTTCTCCCAAAACACATTCTCTACTTCTTCTACTCTGGAGTAGCCCATGTTCTCTCTTTCTCTTCCCTCACATTTCTATAAATAAACTACTTTCAATAAAACAATTCCACCTCAGTTTTTAAAAAATGAGTCCTTTAATAAGCTGTTACTGTCCACTGTCACTGTCCTCCCGTTGTTCATCGATTTGCTCGAGCAGGCCCAGTAACGTCTCCATTGGAGACTTTGTTGTTACTGTGTCTGGCATATCGAATACACCACGGGGAGTTTGCCAGGCTCTGCCGTGCGGGCGAGATACTCTCGGTAGCTTGCCAGGCTCTCCGAGAGGGACGGAGGAATCGAACCTGGCTCGGCTGGCCATATTGGCTGCGTGCAAGGCAAACGCCCTGCTGCTGTGCTATCGCTCCAGCTTCTAAAAGTTCTCTCATTTGTGTAATTTTAAAAAATTTTTTTATTTTGGGGCTGGAGAGATAGCACAGTGGGTAGGGCATTTGCCTTGCATGCGGCCAACCCAGGTTCGATTCCCAGCATCCCATATGGTCCCCTGAGCACCACCAGGAGTAACTCCTGAGTGCAGAGCCAGGAGTAACCCTTGTGCATTGCCAGGTGTGACCCAAAAAGCAAAAAAAAAAAAAATTTTTTATTTTAATTTTTTTCTTTTTGGGTCACACCCAGCAATGCTCAGGGGTTACTCCTGGCTTATACATTCAGGAATTATACCTGGCAGTGCTTGGGGGACCATATGGGATGTTGGGAATCAAACCTGGGTCAGCCGTGTGCAAGGCAAACTCCCTGCCTGCTGTGCTATCACTCCAGCCCCTCATTTGTGTAGTTTAAAGGAGTGGTTTTCAACCTTCTTGGAGGAGGGAGGGCCCACACCTGGCAGTGCTCAGTGCTAATTCCTTTCAAGCTCTGTGCTCAGGGATCACTCCTGGCAGAGATGGGCAGGTGCCATCCTGGCAGATACCAGGAACTGAATCTGGGTTGGCCGAGTGCAAGGCGAGTGGTCTGTCTGCTGTCCTATCACTCTGGGCCTCGTTTTCAACCATTTTACAGATGTGGGCTAGCACTGGTCTGTGGACCAGAGGTTGAACATCTCTGCCTGAGGCAAAGGCCAGTAAGGAGCTTTTCTGGAAAGAGCGAAGGCACTCACCGATCTCCCAGGAGACGCTCTCCATCTCCTGCCTGTGCTTCAGATACATGGGCCACACGTGGCCGTCAAAGTACCCTGGGGGGTCTGGAGGCTCATAGACTCGGGTACTGCCGAAACAGATTAGGAATTGTATGTTGCCAGAAACACACATTGACATAAAGCAAAACAATCACGGTGAGGATTATAAGAGCACCCAGAGACTGAATCTAGACAAGGTCAAGACTACACACATATTTGGAGGCATAATGACAAGTCACAGAGGTTACAACATGCATTTAGTTCTCTGGTCTAAAAATGGACTTTGTTAAATTCATATTGTATTTATCTTTTTGCTTTTTTTTTAAATTTGCTTTTTGGGTCACACCCGGGGATGCACAGGAGTTACTCCTGGTTCATGCACTCAGGAATTATTCCTGATGGTGCTCGGGAGACCATATGAGATGCTGGGACTCGAACCTGGGTTGGTCACGTACAAGGCAAACGCCCTACCCGCTGTGCTATCGCTCCAGCCCCAATTCATATTTTATAATTCATAATTCATAATGAATAAAGCAATTAAGGACAGGGTCAAGGCTGTGGCTCAGTGGCAGAGTGTGTACTTGGCATGTGCGTCCCTGGATTCAATATCTGGCATCACAAAAAAACAAACATAAACCCCAAACAAACAAATAAATAGCAACAATGAAGGACAAATATCAATGTAAATTGTGATGGAAATATTGGTACATTAGATTAAGTTTTAAATTAACTGGTATTGTAGCTGTTGCCAGACTACAGGATGACTACTTTAAAAATCATAAGCAACAAGGAGATTGCTTCATTTGAAGATTGAGAGATAAAAGTAGCAATATCCTCCCATTGTTCATCGATTTGCTCGAGCAGGCACCAGTAACGTCTCCATTGTGAGACTTGTTATTACTGTTTTTGGCATATCAAATATGCCACAGGGAGCTTGCCAGACTCTACTGTGTGGGCGGGGTACTCTCGGTAGCTTGCCAGGCTCTCTGAGAGAGACAGAAGAATCGAACCCGGGTCGGCCGCGTGCAAGGCAAAGGCCCTACACGCTATGCCATCGCTCCAGCTGAGAGAGAAAAGAGAAGCCATAAAACTTACTTATATAAGGGTCTTAGAAAAGTAAAATCTGTGATACCCATGAACAACCATTTATGGAAAAAGGTTCTGTTCGTTGTGTGAAAGACTTGTGCTTTCCTTGTTTCAAAAATGATGCTTGCTGTTTAATACTGTGCTTCCCTTATTTGTCCTAAATTTGGTTATCTGAATTTCCACCCACAAAGTTGATTTCAAAACGTACCTCCTCCTCCTCTTACATTCTTCATACGGGATGCTCAGGAAATAGCTTCTATTCCATATTCTGTCCAAGGGCCTAAAATAAGAGCATATTTAGTTTACAATTTTCTCTCCCTTCATTCATGCATTCATTCATTCATTATTAGAGTGAGGGTTCTTACTTATAGTTAAAGAGAAGGAATCCTTCGATGATTAAAATGGGAATGTCCTCAGTGCTGTCCCAGTCTGTTTCTGGCGATGGCCTTGGGCTTTCCATCCAGCAGGAAATGGTTGACATCATTTTTTCCATGTTAAGGGCTTCAAGCACTTTAAAAAAAAAAACATACGAATATATGAGATCAATACAGCAAGGTGTTTTGTGGCTCAGACTTTTAATATGAGTATCTCTAGGACCCTAAACATATAAAGATAGTTGAAAGATAATTGTCACACTGGGTTAAATATCTGCAATGTATTTGGAGACCTAGTATCCTTAATATATAAAGAATTCTTATGATAAATAAGAGGGTAATCAGAAAAAAATGCAGATATTTCATTTTTAAACTCTGAAATGTGCATCCTTTTTGAGCATATAATTATACATTTGGAAAATTTACTTTTATACAATTATAATTTTGGAAAATGTACTTCTGGAAAACTATAGTTTTTTATAGTTAGAAAGTAGTTAATAACTAAATATATAGTCGATAACTATAGTTAGAAGTCTTTTACTTCATATAAAATGCAATGCCTGGGGTGCAGGGAGATAGAGCAATTTATTCTACTCTTGTTAGGTGTACGATCTATAGATGAGTTTGGTCAAGTTTGCTGTTTTGTTTAAATCTGTTAGATTCTATTTGACTTCTGTCTGCTGGTTCCATTAGTTACTGAGAAAACTATTAATTATCCCACAGTAATTATAGATTTGGCTGTTTCTCTTAGTGTTGTCAGATTCTGCTTAACATATTTTTTTCTTTTTGGGTAACACCCAGCAATGCACAGGGGTCACTCCTGGCTCTGCACTCAGGAATTACCCCTGGCAGTGCTCAAGCGACCACATGGGAAGCTGGGAATCGAACCTGGGTCAGCCGAGTGCAAGGCAAAAGCCCTACCTGCTGTGCTATTGCTCCAGTCCCTCTGCCTAATGTATTTTTTTTTTTGCTTTTTTTTGGGGTCACACCCAGTGATGCACAGGGGTTACTCCTGGCTCTGCACTCAGGAGTTACTCCTGGCGGTGCTCAGGGGACCATATGGGATGCTGGGAATCAAACCTGGGTCGGCTGCGTGCAAGGCAAATGCTCTACCCGCTGTGCTATTGCTCCAGCCCCCTGCCTAATGTATTTTTTATTTTTTTGCTTTTTGGGTCACACCTGGCAATGCACAGGGGTTACTCCTGGCTCTGCACTCAGGAATTACTCCTGGCGGTGCTCAGGGGACCATATGGGATGCTGGGAATCGAACCCGGGTCAGCTGCGTGCAAGGCAAATGCTCTACCCGCTGTGCTATCGCTCCAGCCCCTGCCTAATGTATTTTAAGGTCACGTCATTAGGTATATAGTATATGCATTTTAGTTTGTTTTATCTTCTTTGCAAATTTATCCATTTGTCTCCATCTCAGCCTTAAAATATATTTTGAAAGGCTGGAGTAGCAGTACATGGGGTAGGATGCTTGCCTGGTAATCGGCTGACCTGGGTTCAATTCCTCACACCCCGCAGGGTCCCTTGAGCCCACCAGGAGTGATCCCTGAGCACCTTCGGGTATGGCCCCAAACAGTACCTCCCATTTTTTTTTTGAGAGGTTGGAGAGATAGCATGGAAGTTTAGGCATTTCCTTTGTGAGTGGCCGACCCAGGCTCGATCCCTGGCACCCCATAAAGTCTCCTGTGCCCCATGAGGAGTGACCCCTAAGTGCAGAGCCAGGAACAAGCTATGAGCATGGCTGAGTGTCACCCCCCAAACAAAAACAAAAACAAAAACCCTTTGATATTAGTATTATTATACAAACTTTCTTTCAGTAGCTGTCTGCATGCTGTTTTTCCTAGCATTTTTACTACCTACTTTTTTAAACCTATGAGTATACTTTAAAATACACGTTTTGGGTAATTCAGAAGGAATTTCTCTGAATTAAAGTCAGGTTTTTTTTTTCCTTCTTTTCTTTTCACTCTGCACTGGAGTGATAGCACAGTGGGCAGGGTGTTTGCCTTGCATACAGCCGACCTGGCTGACAGGAGTTTGATTCCTCTGCCCATCTCAGAGGGCCTGGCAAGCTATCAAGAGTATCTCTCCCACACGGCAAAGCCTGGCAAGCTCCCTGTGACGTATTCAATATGTCAAACACAGTAACAACAAGTCTCACATTGGAGATGTTACTGGGCCCGCTCGAGCAAATCGACGAACAATGAATGTTTAAATACATCTCCTACAAGGAGCTTACATATGGCTTTTAAAAAAATCCTTTCTTCGGGCCAAAGCGATAGTACAGCAGGTAGGGTGTTTTCCTTGCATGTGGCCAACCCAAGTTCAATCCCTGGTACCCCATATGGTACCCCATGCACTACCAGGAGTAACTTCTGAGTGTAAAGCCAACTCCTGGCTTTACTCCAGTCCCTGAGTGTTGCTGGTTGTGACCCCAAAAAGCCAAAAAAAAAATTTCTTTCATTCTTTTAACTTAAAGTAGCTATTTTCTCACTATTGTTTCCTATTTTATTTGTTAAATCATCATTTCACTAAAAATTATTTTGCTGGTTCTTCTTTTGGGGGGAAGGGGGTGTAGGCCCTCCCAAGAGGTGCTCAGGGAGGGGGTAGGACACAACTAATACGTCTCGACCCAGCAGACTGTAGGCTCCCTACAAAAGCCTGAGGGTCCGATGCTGCTAGGCCCTGCAGTGCCGAAACACCCACCTGTGCTCAGCCCTCCAGGTCTGCACCCTGAGATGCTTGGGGGACCAAGTGTTGCCAGGAATCCAACTGAATATGGGGTACAACAGGCATGCGCCCTAACCCCAGAACTCTCTCTTGGGTCCTGACCCCTCCACCCCCTCTCTGTCTCCTCCCCCACGCCTCCATTCCAAAGTGGCCCCCACCAGGTAGTGCTAGGGATCAAACCCAGGAGCTCACACACGCAAGTTATGTGGTTTTATCACGGGACCACATCCAGTCCATCCTTTGACATTTAAGTCCTCGTCTTTTCACTCCATTTTACTTACCTTGCATTGACAAGCCATTTTTGGGGGGTGGTCTCTCAAGCAGAAGTAGGCCACCGGGGCTAACCCTGGCAGTGCTGGAGAGGGGAGAAACTTAAACCCAGGGCCTCCACACGCCCTGCATGTGCATCAGTCCTTTGAGACAGTTACCCAGCTAGCAACTGCTTTTTTTCATATTTCACTTCTTTATGAATTGAATAGGCATATATTTAAAAACTGTTCTGATGACTATGACAAAGGTTTCAAATTACCTTGACACACCTTAAATATTTTACATTTACCGAATAAGTTCAGATTTTTCCTAAAGACAAATTCTGTATGTGAGATACTTGTACACATCAATCAATCCTTTTTTTAAATCTCCATTTTCTTTCTTTTTTTAATTGTTGTTGGTTTATGTTTTAGTTTTATTTTTGCTTTTTTTGGGTCACACCTGGCGATGCACAGGGGTTACTCCTGGCTCTGCACTCAGGAATTACTCCTGGCGGTGCTCAGGGGACCATATGGGATGCTGGGAACCGAACCCGGGTCAGCCGCGTGCAAGGCAAACGCCCTACCCGCTGTGCTATCACTCCAGCCCCTGTTCTTTCTTCTTTCTTTCTTTTTTAAATAAAAAAACAGCCAGCTTTCTCCTGGCTCCACACTTGGGGATCATTCCTGGCAGGAGTTGGGGCCCTGGGGTGTTGGGGATAGAACCCTAGTTGGCTCTGTGCAATCAAGTCTCTACCCACTGTATTATCTTTCCACGCTCTACTCATGAAACCTTCAAAGTCATTTTGCTCTTTATCTCAATCTCATTTCCAGACAAGATTTTTGTCTATTTTTTTAATTGAGTTGGTGTCATCATTAGATAACTGTTATTGCTTAAAAATTAATTTACTATTTGATATGCCAAACACAGTAACAAAAAAAAAAGTATCAAAATGAGACGTTACTGGGCCTGCTCGAGCAAATCGATGAACAACGGGAGGACAGAGTGTGTGTGTGTGTGTGTGTGTGTGTGTGTGTGTGTGTGTGGACTAGTAAAGGGGGAAATAATATATAATTCTCTGACTGCATTTGAGATGTCCTTTTATAGTACTTAATCAAATTGTATTTAATATGCACTGTGAGCTATGAAATATTTAATCATCTTTTCTACATGTTTATGAAAGGCTGACAGTTTTCAGTTAGAATATTAATGTTTTGGGGCTGGAGAGATAGCACAGCGGGTAGGGCGTTTTTCTTGCACATGGCCAACCTGGGTTCGATTCCCAGCATCCCATATCGTCACCTGAGCACCGCCAGGAGTAACTCTTGAGTGCAGAGCCAGGAGTAACCCCTGTGCATCGCCAGCTGTGACCCAAAAAGAAAAAAAAATAGTATTTCAATGTTTTTCTTAGTGGTTTGTAAAAACTTGTTTAAATTAGGAATGATTCTTTGCCAACTGTTGAAAGTTTTTTCTTGTTTAATTCATACTTTGTAAGAATCTTACTTGCCGTCCAAAGTAAAAAGGGAACTAAAGAAAGAAATCCCCTGGCTTCATCTCAAGTTGCTAGAACCTGATGTCCATTCTAAGAAGATTTTCTTTCTTTAAACTATTAAGTGTCTTAAGAACAAAGTGATTACATAACATTTTTTTCCTCCACAGTTTCAAAGTTTAAAAAATAAAGATCACATTTTCAGCTCCCGAACAGGGTTTTCGCTGCTAATAATTTGTGAAAGTTTTCACCGATTATCTTAATCATAAAAGTTGAAAACACTGTTAAACATAGTTTTGCATGATATCCTCTGCAGGAAAAGAAACGTTTTTCTGATAAACCTTTACTCATTTAGCTTCAGAGCAGTACTAGCTTGGGCAAAAAACTGAGGTACGTTCATTAAAAAAAATATTCACCAATCTTTTCCTTTTTGAGGCACAGTAAAGAGTTAAAAACAAAACCAAACCTGTTGTGGGGAAAGGTTGGGAGGAAGAAGCCCAGCTGATCATTCCCAGGCAGAGATGAGCAATACATTATTCGGAAGCCCATCTTGCAGAAAAATCCAATAGCATTCCAATAGTCTCCATTTTAAGCATAAAACTAGGAAGACTATATCTATTGAAATAACTGAAGACAAATCAAAAACGTTTACAAAATCAGGTTTAAACTGTATTTAAGGGGCTGGAGAGATAGTACAGTGGGTAGGGCATTTGCCTTGCATGCGGCCGACCCGCATTCGATTCCCAGCATCCCATATGGTCCCCTGATTACTGTCAGGGGTAACTCCTGAGTGCAGAGGCAGGAGTAACCCCTGTGCATCGCCAGGTGTGACTGAAAAAGCAAAATAAATAAATAAATAAAAATAAAATGTATTTAACACATTTCTAGGCTCTTCATAGATAGCAAAGTTATTTTAAGTTTGAAAAAGAAAATGAGCATGAACAAGTAAGTCTTACAAGCACATCTACTTACCATCATACTGCAGAAATCCATTTTTATCTTTTTCTATCTCAGACTCTGGCTAGAAAAATAATAAAGTATCCATCAAAACTTTGCAGCACAGAAATAATAGAATTATATAACTGATAAACTTTTAATATGTGATGGGCAGGAGATAGTACATTAGGCAAGGCGTCTGCTCTGCATATGTTTGACCTGGGGGGTTCGATCCCTAACACTGAATATGGTCCCCCAAGCCCCGCTGGGAATAATCCCTGAGCACAAAGCCAGGCCCTGAGCACAGGTGGGTGTGGACCAAAAACCAAAACAAACGTGAAAAATGTTTAATACTTGCTTTGGGTGATCAAGCGGAATACCAAGATCAGCACCAATTGGTAGTGCCACCTAGTGGCCACATCACACTACTGCACTGAGCCTACCTTCACTGCGCCCCAAGAAAGACTTTATTGGATATAATTTCAATAAATTTGCCGCTACAACGTTTTAAAAAAAATTAATTTGTTTTTGGGCCACACACTGTGATTCTCAGGGGTTACTCCTGGCTCTGCACTCAGGAATTACTCCTGGCATACTGATATTGAGATACTGGGGACCAAATCTGGGTCAGTGGCGTGCAAGGCAAATGCCCTTCCCACTGTGCTATGGCTTTATCCCCTCCACTAGAACGTTTTTGTGTGTGAAACACATTATCATAGAAGCTTTACAGAAACCTTAAAGAAATCATCTTGAGATATGACACTGCAGTTTGGAAGGCGCTTCTGCAAATTTTTAGCCAGTGTTGTCTTTCCGCCATTTGTCACTCTAGAGTGGGGAGGGAGAAAAAAAGGAAAGAAACTATTTAGAAAATATGTTTGAGAAAAACCATAAGACATTTGAAAAAATATAAAACATATAAAACAACATGTCTGGTCTTTCAAAAATGGGGCTGGAGCGATAGCACAGCGGGTAGGGCGTTTGCCTTGCACGCAGCCGACCCGGGTTCAAATCCCAGCATCCCCTATGGTTCCCTGAGCACCACCAGGAGTAATTCCTGAGTGCAGAGCCAGGAGGAACCCCTGAGCATCGCTGGGTGTGACCCAAAAAGCAACGAATAAATAAATAAATAAATAAAGTATTTTAGAGCTAATATATTTCAGCTGGTCCAGTCAGGGGTACAGGTACATCTACTATAATAGCAGGTGAGAAATAAGCTGGACAGGATGGATGAGAAAAGGAGCCGGACAGGTGAAGTGTTAAGACTAGACCCAGACAGACACTGTACTGGAAACAAAAGCTTTTTTTCTTTTCTTTTCTTTTTTTTTTTTCTACTGTGAAACATTTACCAGTTTCTTAAGCATCACAGAGAATATAAGTGACACATTTTAGGGCTGTCCTAAAAACTGACACGTGAATGACACTGGTTTGGACCACACAGACTCACTTATACGTGAGATGTTTTTCTACCTGTGGGTCCTACCTTCACGGAGTCACAGATCCGTAGTGTTGAACAAAAAGCAACAGGAACATCTGACAGTTTTGTTTTCTCTGTGGAAGTAGATGGGTGGAACGCTGGGTGTCCTGAAACCAACCAATCCCCCAGATGGGACCGTCGTTGAGGGGAGTTACGGCATAAGGGGATTTTTGAATGCAAGCGGGGTTGTGGCTAGACTGTTCAAGGGTGAACAGTCTAGAAAACTGCATATGGTGGCTCAGATTTGTTTTAGTGCACTGTGGGGAAAGGAGGGCTGGCTGAGCGCAGGCTCACCTACTAGCAGGAATTCACACCTCCTCTGAGTCTCTGCTTTGGGGCTAACTGGCAGTTCCTGGTAGCCTTTCACATCCACTGCAAGACTCCTGCTTCTAGTGTTTTGTACCTTGCACAGGAGCTGTCTCCGTTCCCCAGCCAACATTCAGCTCACTTTTTTTTTCTTTTTGGGTCACACCCGGCGATGCTCAGGGGTTCCTTCTGGCTCTGCACTCAGGAATTACTCCTGGCGGTGCTCGAGGACCAAATGGGGTGCTGGGAATCGAACCCGGGTCGGCCGCGTGCAAGGCAAACGCCCTCCCCGCTGTGCTATCGCTCCAGTCCCATCAGCTCGCTTGTCTTTAACTGGAGCTGAGCAGCTACCAGGGATCCGTGAACAGACTGAGGGGCGTGGTGACTCCCAATGGGAAAGTGGCATCTTTACTTTCATGAATTCTAACACACTTCACTTTCCCTTGAATTATACGGAGAGGTAACAGTAGTAGTATGGAAAAAAGAAAAAAAAAACCCGTGACAGGAAGAGATAGTTCAAAGATCTAAACACATGTGTGAGACTCGGGATCTGTTTCCCGGCACCCCACGGTCCCCCGAAACACTGCTGGGAGCGACTCCTGAGCACAGAGCAGCCCCCAAGCAGCACTGGGTGTGGCCCAAACACCAGAAAAGGAGAAAGTAAGAATAATACCCATGACCTCATCATTAATAGAAGTCCCAGAGATTTTCATATCAAGCTGCCGTTGGGGCAGATATTGTGAGACAGATCTGCCAATTGGTATTACTTCAAATTTAGGGACACTGGTTTTTAGTAGCAACAACAAAAACACAGAATTCCATAATTTGTTTCTAATATGCATGCTCATGAGTGCATGTGCCTGTGTGTGTGCCTGTGTGTACGTGTGTGTGTGTGTGTGTGTGTGTGTGTGTGTATGTGTTTGGGCCACTCCTGAGCTGACTCTTGACTCTGTGATCAGGGATCACTCAAGGAGGTTCTCAGGGAAACATACTTGATGCTGGGGATAGAACCTGGTTGTGGCAAGGTAACAAAGTGTACTAGCTCTCTGGCCCCTGTTTCTAATGTCACAGTCACGGTCACGGTCCTCCTGTTGTTCATCGATTTGCTCGAGCGGGCCCAGTAACGTCTCCATCATGAGACTTGTTACTGTGTTTGGCATATCGAGTACGTCACGGCTAGCTTGCCAGGCTGATGTGAGGGCGATCTGGCTGCGACGTCTGTCACCCCATTGATCGCCAGGGTGTCTAATGTATCTTAGAAAAATGCTGCACGATATCCCAGCACTGCATGGTCCCCTGAGCATGGCAGTAGGCCCACAGACCCAGGTGAGGCCGAATGACCCTCTACACTACACCATCCAGTCCCCTAATTCTGTATAGGGCTGGGAGATAGTACAAGGGTTAGGGACTCCCAAATCACATTCCATCCCCTGTATCTCATCCCCCCCTCCCCCCCACCCAGCATCACTGGATCTCATCTTGGTGACCCAGTGCACTGTCCATCTGGCATACTGCAGGGTCCGAGCGGCATTGCATCCGTGGGGCCTGGCATTCAACCCTCTGGTCTGGTTGACCAAGGATAGCCAGGAGGAGGTCAAGATAATTTCAGTACAATTGGTTGCACGTGTATTCCTGTATTTTCACTTTGTATACAGCTGAAACCGTTTAGCTGAGATGTCAAGGCAGGACTCTGCCAACAGATATTCACAGAACGCAAAGCGCCTTGGTGCACGTTTACTGAACCTGTGCTCACTCCCACGTGAGATGAATTAGAATGCTTATGACCGAGGAAAGGAAGAAAAGAACTAACACTCATCAAACTGGTTTACTTAATACAATTCGGTTCTGAACTAAATCCCTCATACTGACAAAGTAGAAAGGACTTGATTCACAAGAGTTTTTCGATTAACCTTTGATGACAGGAAAAAGTGGGTGGGTGTTACTCCAAGCCTTGAAAAAATGTTTTTTCCCTTTGGGCCATATATATATATATATATATACATATACATATATATATAATTTTTTTTCTTTAACACCATGGACTGCTGTAAGAATCTGATGATTATAAATCCTTTCCCCTGACAAAACAAATATGCATCAAATTTCAAGGAGGGTCATGGATTCTCTCTGAAACCTTTTCCAACGATCACTCTGCCTTCAATAATTCCTTCCTGGCAGCTAAGTCCCTCGGGAGCTCCAAGCCAGAGATTCTGGAGGGACAGAACGGGTACAGAGCAAGGCAACAGTGGCAGCTCTATAAACACTGTGGCAACAGTGGCAGCTCTATAAACACTGAAGTTTATAGTGGGGCTAAGTGGGGCTGAGGAAGAAACGGTGCCTGGCAGATGTTCTTGGGAATTTAGGGGAAGCCCTGGGGTCAGCGGGGGGTGGGGTGGGGGAGGGGCGCTCAAGGCCTGAGGCAGGTTTCTAGGGCAAGGGCCCGGCTGTCATGCTGGGCTGAGGGGACTTGAGTTTGGGTTGGACCCTGCAGCGATCAGGGTCACTGTCTTTCGCAGCTTCCAGACTGACTGGGCTGCACTGGTTTCAGCAGAATCCCTCCTTTGGACACAGTGACTGGGACAAAGTGACGTTGTTGGTTGAGTCAGAGGGAACCGTGTGCTGTAGAGAGAAGCACAGTTGCCCTCCCTCAGCGTGGGGGACACATCCCACCCGGGCTGCTGGCTCGACTTTGTTCACATACTTCAAACCAAGCTCAGAAAGCAGAGCTGGGAGCCACAGAGAGTGTGGGCTAAGGCGCCCACCCACCCCAGCTCCATCCCTGCCCCACGTGGCCTCCTGAGCACTGCTGGGGGTGGGCTGGGGCTCCTGAGCATCTCTGGGGTGGCCCTGGCAGGGTCCACAGCATGCAGTGCCTGAGCACTGGCTCGCACCCCCGTTGTTGCCTCTCACTGGGAATGGCTGGTCCCTGAGCTGTCTGAGCACTGTGTGGGAGCCCCCAAGTCCCTCCCTCCCCCCTCCCCTGCCCCCAACAACAGCAACAGAGAGTGGAGGCAGGTTGGGGAAAGTCCTTCAGTGGTAGACAGCCTGTCCTGCATCTTTCTGTTGTTCGTTTGTTCGCTTTGTTCTGTTCTGGGGCCACACCTGGTGACGCTGTACTCAGGGATCAATCCCACAGGGGATGCTGGGGACAGAGCCCGGGTTTGCCACCTGCAAGGCAAGTGTTCTACCCTCGGGACTCTTCACTCTGGCCCTTTCTCTTGCATCTTTACCCTGAGTTCAAACCTTGGGACTTAATCACTTAATCACTTAACTTCCCGTTAGTCGTCGATTTGCTCGAGCGGTCGCCAGTAACGTCTCCATTTGTCCCTGTCGCGTGCTAGTGTAGCCCAATGGCATCTGTTCGCTCCGGGAACATGGAGGGCCTCAAACCGATCGTTCATGATCTTGACAAAGAAGTCTGACCATCTGGTAGGTGGGCGGCCACACGGTCTCTTGACATCCCGTGGAATCCAATCAGTAACAGCTCTAGTCCAACGGTCGTCTTTAAATCTCATTACGTGACCAGCCCATCTGATTTTCGACACCTTGGCAAATGAGACAGCGTCCCTGATCCTTGATCGTCGACGGATGTCAGAACTCCGGATTCTTTCTCTCATTTGAGTGAAACGTGATATTCCAAGCATAGCTCTTTCTATTCTTCTTTGGGAGACCTGAATGGCGTTCTCATCTTGTTTGCGTAGGGCCCAGGTCTCTGAGGCATATGTTAATGCAGGAAGAACAGTGGAATCAAAGAGATGTGCCCGGAGCCGGAGGTTCTTCGTCCTCTTAGCTATTTCTTCGACGTTCTTGAAGGCGTTCCAAGCCGCTCTCTTCCTCCTGCGCAGCTCGGGTGCCAGGTCATTTCTCATGTTGACCTCTCGACCTAGGTACACATAGCTGTTGCATTCGGAGATGGTCATTCCATTGAGAGCGAATGGGGCGTCAGGAACAAGGCTGTTTCTCATAAACATTGTCTTTGTAAGATTCAGCTGTAGTCCTACCTTTCCACACTCACGGTCAAAGTCGGCCAGCATTTGTGCCGCTTGGCTGATGTTTGGTGTTATTAAAACAATGTCATCAGCAAAGCGGAGGTGGTGTAGTTGCCGACCATCTATCTTCACTCCCATTCCTTCCCATTCCAGTCGTCGCATGATGTTCTCGAGGGTGGCACTGAAGAGTTTCAGTGAAATGGTATCACCCTGCCGCACCCCTCTCTTGACATCAACGATCACTTCTTTGTAGAATGGTGAGATCCTGGTAGTGAATCCGCAATACAGCTCACGGAGGATCCTTGGGACAATAAAACCAAAACCGACCAGCCAATGCAAACAAACAAAAGCCAAAAAAAGGAGCCCACTAAGGGCTGGAGCAAATGTACAGTGCTCAGGGCATTTGCCTTGCACATGGCCAACCCAGGTTCAATCCCTAGCATCTTGTATGGTTGCCCAAGACCCATCAGAAGTAATTCCCGAGCACAGAACCAGGAGTGACTCCTGCGCATCACTGGATGTGATCCCAAAAGCCTGGCAAGCTCCCCGTGATGTATTCGATATGCCAAACACAGTAACAACAAAGTCTCCAATGGAGACGTTACCAAAAAAAAAAACACACAAACAAAAAAGGAGCCAACTGGAGGATGAATCCAAATGCAGAAAGATGAGGAGAGATGGAGGAAAATGAATCTTTGGTGACAAAACTGAACTCTGGGAGCAAACCTTCCCTGAAGCCTGTCTACCCCTTAGGCTGTTTCTTTTATTGTTTACCAGTGGTCTTCACATGCAAGGAAATTCAGATTTTTATTCGAGATAACTTAGAATCACTGAAAATGGTTCAATAGGTAAGACAATAAAAATTGTCTTTGATTGTAGCACTGTCCTCCCATTGTTCATAGATTTGCTCAAGCAGGCCCAGGAACACTGTGAGACTTGTTACTGTGTCTGGCATATCGAATACGTCACGGGCAGCTTGCCAGGCTCTGTCGTGTGGGCGAGATACTCTCAGTAGCTTGCCGGGCTCTCCGAGAGGGGCGGAGGAATCGAACTTGGGTTGGCCAGGTTGCCGCGTGCAAGGCAAACAAACGCACTACTTGCTGTGCTATCGCTCCAGCCCAACTTTGATTAGGTAAAAGGTAAGGTAAAGGCCCTCCCATTGATCATCGATTTGCTCGAGTGGGGCCAGTAACGTCTCCATCGTGAGACTTTGTTGTTACTGTGTCTGGCATATCGAATACTCTCGGCAGCTTGCCGGGCTCTCCGAGAGGGGCGGAGGAATCGAACTCGGGTCGGCCATGTTGGCTGCGTGCAAGGCAGACGCCCTACCGCTGTGCTATCGCTCCAGCCCTTTGATTAGATAATTAACTAAATTTGATTATTTAGATAATTAATTAGATAATTAACTAACTTTGATTAGATAATTAAAAAACAAAGAGTAAACTCACAGTCTATGTAAAAAAAAGATTAGAAGTGAGAACTTCAGGAGGGAGGGCCCAGAATGGGCTGGTGGCAGTACCTGTGGGAAGGAAGGTAGACAAGGGAAGCATTGCAGGGGTAAATGAGTCTCTGGTTCTTGGCAGACAAGAGTGAGAAAAGGCAGACTTTGGACAGTTGGCTCATTCCATTTTACTTCTGATTGCGACAGTAACGTAATAGAAGAATACAATGAGTTCCTCCAAATTACCAGCTTCTAAGTCTGTCTTCAAAAGTGGTTATTATTATCATCTTTTTTTTTTTGGTTTTGGGTTTGGGGGTCACCCCCCTGGTGTGCTCAGGGCTTATTATGGGCTCTACACTCAGGGATCACTCCTGGCAGGGCTCTGGGGACTATGTGTGGTTCCAGGGATCAAATCTGGGTCAGCTGCATGCAAGGTAAGTGCCCTACCCACTGTACTATCATTTAGGCCCTCACATTATATATATATATATATATATATATATATATATATATATATATTTGGTTTTGGGGTCACACCCAGCGATGCACAGGGGCTACTCCTGACTCATGCACTCAGGAATTGCTCCTGGCAGTGCTCAGGGGACCATGTGGGATGCTGGGAATTGAACCTGGGTCAGCCGGGTGCAAGGCAAACGCCCTACCCGCTGTGCTATTGCTTCAGCCCCACATTATATATTTTTCATTAAAAAAAAAAACCTTTTTTTTTTTTTTTGGCAACGCCCAGCAATGTTCATGGGTCACTCCTGGCTCTGCACTCAGGAATTATTCCTGGCGGGGCTCGGGAAACCATACGGGATGCTGGGGATTGAACCGAGGTAGTCGTGCTGCATTATTGCTTTGGCACCAAAGGTTTATTAATTGTACCGCATGTATCACTGTAGCACTGTCCTCCTGTTGTTCATCAATTTGCTCGAACGGGCACCAACCAGTAACGTCTCCATCGTGACACTTGTTACTGTTTTTGGCATATCTGCCATAGGAAGCTTGCTAGGTTCTGCTGTGTGGGCTGGATATTCTCGGTAGCTTGCCAGGCTCTCTGATCGCGGGACAGAGGAATTGAACCTGGGTTGACAGCGTGCAAGGCAAACGCCCTACCTGCTGCTGTGCTATCGCTCCAGCCCTGTCAACCTAGGATTTTATAATAAGCAAAACCATTGTTCGACTCTGTGAGCTAAATAATAATATTGTCATCACTAAGCAATATCTTAAACCCCAGAAACTCAAGTGATGTTCCTCTCTTCACCGAGCATCGCGTCTGTGATTCCTTTCTCCAGAAACTACCCAAACCCTGATAAGGTCACAGGAGGTTGCATTAAAAGTCTTGGTTTGGGGCTGGAGCGATAGCACAGCAGGTAGGGCGTTTGCCTCGCATGCAGCCGACCTGGGTTCGATTCCCAGCATCCCATATGGTCCCCTGAGCACCGCCAGGAGTGATTCCTGGAGTGCAGAGCCAGGAGTGACCCCTGTGCATCGCTGGGTGTGACCCAAAAAGCAAAGTAAATAAATAAATAAAAGTCTTGGTTCAAATTATGTCTTGTTTCCGAATCTTATTTTTTCCTTGAGGTTCTTTTTTTCACAGTAGAAAAATCAACGCAACTACTCCATGTTGTCAAAGTCAGACAAGGACAAAGGCCTTGGTTTTACCACTTAGAGTCACAAAACAGTTCTTAAAAAAGAAAAATCTATTAAAAAAAAACTCCCAAGAAGATACATGTATCACATATATCACACACAATGTGAATGGCTCAGAATAATGAGGAATACTGCAGGAAAGCGCATCATGTCCTTTGGGTCACTACTGATGTCTTATTTTCCTGTGCAGCTCTGGTACCAGAGGCAGAAGGAGTAACAACACCGGCTCAGAACAGCGCAGGGAGGGGCTTCTGTCCAGCTTCTGTTCAAAACTGGGCAAACCTGGAACAAAGCACTGAATTTTCTACTTGAGGCACAGCCTTCTGGATGGAGACTGAGAAATCACCATGAACCAAAGCGGCGTCCGAGCACCAGCTCGTCGCTGGACTCAGCTCCAGGATGACGGCAGTAAACCAGGAAAACGTACTTCCTGCCTCCCTGCTTTGACCCTGGGCTGTTCTCCACTGCCGGTTGGCATTTAGGGGGCCAGTGTTCCTGTTCTCTGGGGCACAGGAGTCTTTCTTCCGGATTCTCTCTCCCAACCACCTCATACACATAAAATACCTTCATTTCATTCTTTTTTTTTTTAGAAAAATAGATATATTTGGTGTTTGCCTGTAGCTCAAACATTGTCATTTTTTTTTTTTTTTTTTTTTTTTTTTTGCTTTTTGAGTCACACCTGGCCATGCACGGGGGTTACTCCTGGCTCTGCACTCAGGAATTATCCTTGGCGGTGCTCAGGGGACCATATGGGATGCTGGGAATCGGACCAGGGTCGGCCACATGCAAGGCAGATGTCCTACCCACTGTGCTATTTTTTAATTAACTATTTTATTTTTGTAATGGATCCCTGTGAGGTACAGTTACATACTTACAAACCTTCGTGATTATGCTTCAGTCATACAATGATCCAGTACCCATCCCTCCACCAGTGTCCATTCTCCACCACCAATGATCCCAGTATCCCTCCCACCACCCCCACCCCATCTCCCTCCCACCCCACCCTAGAGTCTATTTTCAGCACGCATCTCCCATCCCGAGTGGGCCCTCCGAGCACCCTTTACTTGGTGGTCCCTTATCTATCTAAGCTGCCTGAAATGCCTTCTTGAGAATCTAAACCAGTAGCAAAATTACTCACCCCCCAATTCCAATGACAAAGGTTTTCATAATTAGCTTTGAAAAGCACGTCTTCCTAAAATTTAAGAAAGAGAAAAAAAATAAAAGAAAAGAAAATGAATGCTTATCATTAAGATGTCTCAAGGGTCAAAGACGCGGCCTGGATTTCACAGGGTCAGCTGAGGGAGGATGATGAATGAGAGATCTGTGGATTACCGAGCCCTGGATGACTCCCTTCCCTGCCTTCCGGGAGGACCCCCTAGCCCACCCTGCAGTGGGCCTCAAGAGAGCTGGGCACTGCTGACCACGAACAGCAGGGTTGTACCAGACTCAGTGCAATTGACGGTGTTTTCCATTTGTCTAATTTTTTGGGGTGGGGGCACACCCAGCAGTGCTCAGGGCTTACTCCTGGCTCTGTGCTCAGGAATCGCTCCTGGTGGTGCTCAAGGGACCATGTAGGGTAAGGGGGATGGCATGCAGCTCGGTTGTGTGCAAAGCAAGTACCCTGCATGTTGTATTATTGCACTGGCCCTTAATTTGTTTCCTTACAGAAGCATGTAAGGTTTTTTTTACAAGTGCAATGAGTAATTCAGTTTTCTGAAAACGGGTAGTAGGCCTCAAATGTTTGGGAATCTCTGATACACCTACTTCTGGACACACTCTACTGCCAAGTGCCGGCATGCCCAGGTATGGCAATCCAGGAACTGAAAGGCCTCCTGTAATCCTGGACGTTTGTTTTCATGAGTGGGAGGGTTTCTGGGCCTCACAACACACTGGGGTTTCAAACTCCCCTGAGTTGGCAGATAACTGATCCCCTAAGGTGACCCAGGCAACCTACAGAGCGAGTCTCTGCCTCTCTGCCTCTCTCCTCTCTTCTGCAATGGGGATGGGGGGGAGGGGAGGGATTTGGCCTATTTCCTTGCCAAGCCTGGTCTAGGGAGAAGAAAGAAAAACAAACTATTTTGAAAATGGTCCAAGCAGTAAATGTGTGAGATTTGTGGACCAAAAGGAAAAACCAAATTATCGTGCAGGCATTTATATAACAAGAGATAAACCAAAGTTATCATGCAGGTGTTTATATAATAAAAGATAAACCAAATTATTTTTGGTGGTGCTGGGGATTGAATCAAGGGTCTTGTAATGCCCTACCATTGAGCTATATTCCCATCCCCTCCACCTATTTTTTTTTTGCAGGGGTCACATTCGGCGATGCTCAGGGGTTACTTCTGGCTCAGTATTCAGGAATTACTCCTGGCCAGTTGTTGGAGGACCATGTGGGCATGGGATGCCAGGGATTGAACCTGGTTGGTCGTGTGAAAGGCAAGTGCCAAAAAAAAAAAAAAAAGAAAGAAAAGAAAGGCAAGTGCCTTACCTGCTGTATTATTTCTCTGATCCTACCCCCTCCACTCTTTTTTTTTTTATATATTTATTTATTGAATCACTGTGGGAAGTTACAAAGCTTCAGGTTTAAGTCTCGGTCATGCAATGATCAAACACCTTTCCCTTCACCAGTACTTATTTTTCACCACCAAGAACCCCAATATGCCCCCTCCCATCCCTCCCAATGCCTGTGAGGCAGATGAATTCTACTTAATTCTCTATCTACTTTGATTGCATTCATTATTTCAACAAAAGATGCACCATTATTGTTTAGGGTTTACACCCAACAATCAGAACTGCTGAAAAGGCATTGTGAAATAATTTGTTTTCTATATAGCTGGTCATGGGGCTGGAGCGATAGCACAGTGGTAGGGCGTTCGCCTTACAAGCGGCCAACATGGCCGACCCGAGTTCGATTCCTCCGCCCCTCTCGGAGAGCCCGGCAAGCTACCGAGAGTATTCGATATGCCAGACACAGTAACAACAAAGTCTCCAATGGAGACGTTACTGGGCCCGCTCGAGCAAATCGATGATCAACGGGAGGGCCTTTACCTTTACCTAGCTGGTTATGAGAACCATATGATGTCGCATGGCCATGATAGCGGCCGTGCGATTTTGGATTTCTGATATTTTACTTATTAAGCCTGGAGGGATTTCTGCCAAGAGCCAGATAGTTACAAGATTGGTTTCTGTGGCTCTGGAGCCACGGCCGTGCCAGAGAGCCGCTCGTGGGGGGCAACTCGTGACCTCAATAGGGCGTGTAGGACTAGTTGGGCCCTCCACTCTTTTCTAAAAATGAAAGTAAAAACAATAATAATTCAGTACAGTCTTATTTTTGGGAATACATGAGTGTTAAGGACAGGAAGAGACTTCCTTATTTACTTGGGATTAACATTTCTCTTACTGGATTTCAAAGACGATGTTGCCAGTCACACAACTGGTTGCTAATATCCAGGTGAAGAGTCACAGTGTAACCACAGGCCATGGTCTTCCGTGGAAGGCGTGGACTGCAGCACATGTAAGCCCAGTGGTTTACCTGGTCAAACTGACCGTCTTTAAATGGACAGGCTAGAGCTCAACAACAGGGAATCTTAGATCATTGCTTGGTGATGGCTTCCCCTAACTGATAATGTTCTTTATTCCTTCAAGAAGATTGAGTGAGAGAAGCAATAGCACAGCCAGTACAGCGCTTAGGTTGCATGCAGCTCACCCAGGTTCAACCCCTGGTCCCCCGAGCTGCCCAAATCCAGAAAAGAAAACAAGCCTAGGTGAGACAAGAAACCAATCACTGTCACTGTCACGCCGTTGTTCATTGATTTGCTCGAGCAGGCCTAATAACGTCTCCATTCTCCATTTTGAGACTTGTTGTTACTGTGTTTGGCATATTGATTACGTCATGGGTAGCTTGCCAGGCTTTGCCATGTGGGCCAGATATACTCTCGGTAGCTTGCTGGGCTTTCCGAGGGGGATGGAGGAATCGAACCCGGCTTGGCTGGGCTGGCTGCGCGCAAGGCAAATGCCCTACTGCTGTGCTATGGCTCCAGCCCAAGAAACCAAAACTGACATAAAAAGAATCGGGCTTCAAGTGGTACAACATGGAAAGCATCATGCTAAGCGAAATGAGTCAGAAAGAGAGGGATAGACATAGAAAGATTGCATTCATCTGGGGGATATAAAGTAACAAAATATGAGATTAATACCCAAGAATAGCTGAGATCAGCACCAGGAGGATTACTCCATAGCTTAGAGGCCAGCCAGGTATTCTAGGGGCAAGGGCAGTTCAGATAGAGAAGGGAGCACCAAATAAAGGGTGTTTGGAGGATCCTCCCAGGAGGGGAGATGCATGTTGAAAGTAGACTATGGACTCAACATGTTTGCCACTCAATGCCTCTTTTGCAGACCACAGCACCCAACAGGAGAGAGAGAACAAAAGGGAATGCCCTGCCACGGAGGCAGGGTGGGATGGGGGTGGGAGGGGTACTGGGATCCGTGGTGGTGGGAAATGGGCACTGGTGGAGGGATGGGTATTTGATCACTGTATAATCGAAACCAAGCACAAAAATTTGTAAATCTACAACTGTACCTCGTGGTGTTTCACTAATAATAATAAAAAAAAAAAGAATCGGGCTTGCTGCTCAAGCAGCTGTCTTGTTCAATTCTTGGTACCACATGCCCCTCCGCCCCGCACCACGGGCAGGGCCCCCAACAAACCCCGCAAAATTAATAATAGTAACAAAAGTCTTTTGTGTTGGGGCCACACCCAGGGGTCCTCAGGACTCACTCCTGGCTCTGTGCTTAGGGAATCATTGCTGATGGACGGCCGGGGATCAAACCCGGGTCGACCATGTGCACGGCAAGCACCCTACCCGCTATACTATCACTCCAACACGCTTTGGGTTTTGTTTTGAATTTGGGGGCCACATCCAGGAATTCTGGGGACTCACTCCGGGCTCTGCACTTTGGGATCACTCCTGGTGCGCTCTGGTGACTTGTATGCGTGCCAGGGTTTGAACTTGGGTCAGACGGGGTATCATCTTTCTGGCCCCACGCCAACTACTCTTTTGTGGGAAAGATAAGGTTGCCGTTATTCTTAAATGGCATCGTTCTTGCTGTTTTGGTAATAAATATTATTTCTCCTATAAAATGATGTGGGCAGGGGCTGGAGAGATAGCACAGCAGGAAGGGTGTTTACCTTGCACGCGGCCGACCCGGGTTCGATTCCCAGCATCCCATATGGTCCCCTGAGCTACCGCCAGGAGCAACTCCTGAGGAGTAACTCCTGAGTGCAGAGCCAGGAGTAACCCCTGTGCATTGCTTGGTGTGACCCAAAAAGCAAAAAAAAAAAAAAATAGATGTGGGCAGTAGGTAGCCTCGGTGGGGGCATGGGGGTGGGGAATCCTCGGAACTTAGCCATTGGCTTCTCCACCTTGCTGATTTTTCGTCAAGAAGACTCTCAGCACATAAATTCTTACAGTTAGCTGAGCCTAAGGATCGCTAAACCCAGCCCTTCTTTGTGCTGACGTTGAAAGTGGCCCAATGGAGAGTTTTGTCCAAGCCCAGCTAGTAAAACGGACAAGCCACAGAGGAAACCTAATCAAGTGAGCGAACTGGTTTCCACTCTTTATTTCTCCAAAAAAAAAAAAATTTAAAAAAGGTTGCACATCTGCTGAAGTAATTATAAGGCATGTATAACTGATGCCTTTTTTTTTTTTTAAAAATTGCTGGGTTACAGATGGGGTACACACTTGCTCTGCAGGCAGGAGGGAAATGAATTCTGGTCTCCCATCCTTCCTGCCACACCTGAGAAAACTCTACTGACCACATAGCCGTAGCATGCACAGAAGTGAGTGTCGTGATGGTATCAGAAACAGGCTTTGTGGGAAATTTTTAATTTTATTTTAGGGGAAACTAGCAATTCAGAAGCCAGATGTAAAGAAGAGTCAAGAGTTTTCTTAAGAGGTCGAGGGATAGTACAGCGGTTAATGCACTTGCCTTGCACACAGAAGACGGGAGTTGCATCCTCAGCACCCTATATGTTTCCCTGAACCCAGCCAGGAGTGATCCCTGAGCTCAGAGCCAGTAGTAAGCCCTAAGCAATGATGAGTGTGTGCCTCTCCCTGCCCCCACTCCCACCAAAACACTGGTATGTTAGCGTTTTTTTTTTTTTTTTTTTTTTTTTTTTGCCTTTTTGTGTTACACCCAGCAATGCTCAGGGGTCACTCCTGGCTCTACACTCAGGAAATACTCCTGGCGGTGCTTGGGCGACCATATGGGCTGACCAGGGATCGAGCCCGGGTCGGCCGCATGCAAGGCAAAGGCCCTACCTGCTGTGCTATCGCTCCAGCCCCTTGTTAGTATTTTTAAACCCTACTTGTAAAAGGTAGCGTCTGGGGTATCTTTGGGGTAGAGTGTATGCCTCCTATGGATGAGAATTTGGCTTGACCCCTCTCTCCCAGTCCCCCATCCCTAGAAAAATGAAGAAAAGAAAATTCTGGAGTTTTGGTGGGAATTCTCACAGACAAATCAACTTTTCATCAGAACAGAAAACCTCATTTCTGTATTAGCTAGAAGGCAGCCTATTGAAGGCAGTGCTTAGGTAGTGCCTGGCACAGGGCACGGGCAGGTGATAATACTCTGGGTGAATGTGGAATCAAGACGCAACCAGATAGGTGGCCGGCTTAGAGGCTCAGGAGCAGCTGGGCACAGAATCCCGAAGGCTTTTTTACTTCAAAGTGCTGGACAATTCTCAATGGACTTCAGAGTTAGAGAGGGCAGGTTCCACCAGGCTCTGATTTTCATTGTCTGGTGGCCTCCTTGAAAACAATTTCTAAATGATATGGAAACCTTTTCTAATCAAGTGTTGCCCAGCTACAAATGGACCTGAATAGCAGCTTCATGAGCCAAACACAAACTTCATCTGCACTGCACTGACCTCCCGTTGTTAATCGATTTGCTCTAGCGGGCCCAGTAACGTCTCCATTGTGAGACTTGTTGTTACTGTGTTTGGCATAGTGAATATGTCACGGGTAGCTTGCCAGGCATTTCCATGCGGGCGAGGTACTCTCGATAACTTGCTGGGCTCTTTCTGAGAGGGGTGGAGGTATCGAACTCAGGTCAGCCTGGTCAGCTGTGTGCAAGGTAAACGACCTACCCGCTGTGCTATCGCTCTCCAACTAAGTGTAAATCACTAGATGTCTCTAGAGAGAGTAACTTGGGCCCTTCAGGCCCCAGTCCAGGCTTCTGCTCACTAGGAAATCTCTACCACCTCCAAGCCCAGGGGGATATTTATAGATTCTACCCTCCCAGCAAGTGCAAAGCTTTCCTTAACAGCAGAGATTCTATGCATGAGAGAAAAGCCTAGTTAGCCAGCCAGAGGCTTAAGGTGGCAAGAAAATCACCTCCGAAGGTGCTCTGGGTCTATCAAATAGCGCTGGGAATGGAGTCTGTGCCCTCTGAGTCACCCCCTGTCCCAGCCCAAAAGAGTAGCACTGTCCGCCCATGGTTCATCGATTTGCTCAAGCAGGCCCAGTATCGTCTCCATTGTCTCCAGAGGGGCAGAGGAATCGAACCCCACTCAGCCGAACCAGCCGCGTGCAAGGCAAACACCATATCGCTGTTCATATATTTTTTAAAAGGGCATCAATGTATGTTGTTGAGGGTTTTTCCTAATCCATCCGTTTATTATTATTTTAAATCTCATTACTACATGGTGTATATTTCGGATTCATTCTTGATATTCTAGTTTTTTTAATTCCTTGGTTTTGGGGCCACAGCTGCTGTGCTCAGGGCTTATTCCTGGCTCTGTGCCCAGGGATCACTCCCGGTGGGGCTCAGAAACCATATATGGATGCTGGGGATTGAACCCAGGTTAGCTGCATGCAAAGCCTCTCCCCTGTTATTATGGCTCTGCCTACTTCACTCTTCTTATTATGTTCCCACTCTGGACCCCATTTTTTTTTTAAAAATGAGTTTTCAGGGCTTCTTACTCCTTAGTTTTACTCAATGGATTTTTTTGTTTTGTTTTTTTTGGGTCACACCTGGAGATGCTCAGGGGTTACTCCTGGCTTTGCACTCAGGAATCACTCCTGGCAGTGCTCAGGGATAGATATGGGCTCAAAAACCATATGGGATGCTGGGAATCAAACCCAGGTGGGCCACATGCAAGGCAAACGCCCTACCCACTGTGCTATCACTCCAGCCCCTCAATGGATATTTTTAATTGGCAAGACTTAGGAAATCTTTTCCTACCACTGTTTAAACTCTGGTAAACAAAAAAAATCTCCCAAGACCGTGGGGCTTCTGAACAGAAAGTCAGGCCAATTTCCCAATGGAGTGGCTCAATCATTAACAAGCCTTTAGCGGAAATTTGGAGCCACCCTTAGCAGAAATTTGGAACCATCATTTTATGAGGGCTTTGGTTTTTTTTTTTTCCCCCTCTTCTCAAATATTCTTTCCCCAAACGTACTTCTAACATGGACAGTGCCAGGTCAAGTTTGCACAGTATATAGCTTCTGGGCGTCTGTCCTTCCCTCCCATCCCAGATTCAATCTGTAGGTCAGAGGCCAAACCTCTGTAGCATGCCAGATGCTTTTTGGCTTTTGGGACAGTTGTCCCAGCCCTGAAACAGTCAAGTGAAAGTCGCCACCAAGCAACGCCAAGGACAAGCAAGCGTGGCTGTGTCCTGACAAAACTGGATCCAGGGAAATGCAGATTTCATGGAGTTTTCCAACGAGCCACCCAACAGTCTTGCCTCTTTCCATCCTTCTTAAGAGAAACGTCAGCGCCTTGATCAGCCTGGCGCTACAATAACGTTTGTCCTCCTATGCAACGAACCAGGAGCCTCCACCGCGACTGGGGTCCGATCCTTAAGGGTGAGACCCCCCCCACCCCCAGATGAAGGCACTCCAAGGTGCACCCACCCGGGCGCTGCACCACCGCCAGCGCCACCGTCTTCCCGGGTGGGTCACGTGTCGGCCCGTTTTTTCCAGGGTCCACAAGTCCCAAGGGGGTTTGCGGGCCAGGACCAGGCTCGGCCTTGCAGCCTGGGAATATTCTGGAAGCGCTCCAGGCCCGAGCGAAGCCGTACGGCGAGGGGGCGAGGGGGGTCCGACAGGTACTCACCGTGCACGACCACAGCCGGACTCCTCTCCAGCCCAGCCAGCGGCGGGCGCGCGCCTGTCACTGGCCCGAGCCCGGCCCAGCCGCGGGACCGCGCGGCCGGGGCGGGGCTTCGGGCGGGCACGCGCGCTCGCGCGCTCCCGCGGGCCGAGCCCGGCTCGGGCTCCTGCCCCAGCGGCGGCGCGCGTTCTCTGGCTCCCCCTGGCGGCTCCCGGCGCCACTGCCGCCCTCCCCGCCCCCCCCCCACCCCGCGAGCGCGCGCGCGCGCGCGCGTCCCCGCCGCGGCCAAGTTCCCAGCCGGGAGCCAATTAGCGCCGGGCGAGGCGGCGGCCACTTCCTCGTGGGCCGGGCAGCGCGGGGCGGGCCAGTGTGTCCGCGGCTCCCGCAGCGCAGGCCGGTGGGCGCCGGGCCCCACGGAGGGTCGGGGGGCGAGCGAGCGCGCCAGGAGGACGCGGAGCGCCGGGAGGAGCCTCGGGGGGTTTTCGTGCGTTTCGGAGCAGCCGGCCGACCCCAGCCCGGGCAGCGACATGTCCAAGCCACCGCCCAAGCCGGTGAAGCCAGGTACAGGGGCTCGGGGGGCTGCGCGTGGACCCCGCTGCCCTCGTGGGGAGGGGACGGGGGTCCCCGGCACCGCTCCGCGCTCCCACCCCGCTCCGGGCCGTCTGCGCGCGGCCGCGGCGGCGGCGGCGTCCCCGGGAGCGGGGACCGCCGGGCTCGGAAAGAAGGCGGTGGCCGGGAAGCTTCATTTAAAAAGACGAAAAAAGATCTTTCCACTTTATTTATTTATTATTTTTGCAAGTTTCGGGGAGTCGCTGTTGCTTTGGGTGGCTTGCACGTCGTTTCTATTATTATTATTATTTTTTTGCAAGTTTCGGGGAGTCGCTGTTGCCTTGGGTGGCTTGCACGTCGTTCCTATTATTATTATTTTTTTTGCAAGTTTCGGGGAGTCGCTGTTGCCTTGGGTGGCTTGCACGTCTTTCCTATTATTATTATTATTTTTTCTCAAGTTTCGGGCAGTCGCTGTTGCCTTGGGTGGCTTGCACGTCCTTCCTATTATTATTATTATTATTTTTTGCAAGTTTCGGGCAGTCGCTGTTGCCTTGGGTGGCTTGCACGTCCTTCCTATTATTATTATTATTTTTTTTGCAAGTTTTGGGGAGTCGCTATTGCCTTGGGTGGCTTGCACGTCTTTCCTATTATTATTATTATTATTATTATTTTTGCAAGTTTCGGGCAGTCGCTGTTGCCTTGGGTGGCTTGCACGTCGTTCCTATTATTATTATTATTATTTTTTAAGTTTTGGGGAGTCACTGTTGCCTTGGGTGGCTTGCACGTCTTTCCTATTATTTTTTTTTGCAAGTTTTGGGGAGTCGCTATTGCCTTGGGTGGCTTGCACGTCGTTCCTATTATTATTATTATTATTATTATTATTATTATTTGCAAGTTTCGGCAGTCGCTGTTGCCTTGGGTGGCTTGCACGTCGTTCCTATTATTATTATTATTATTATTATTTTTTTTTTGCAAGTTTCAGGGCGCCGTCCCGGACAAGCTTTCCTGGAAGACCGGGCCCCGGGGCTCCCTGCAGGAGCGATGCTATAAATATGCCTGGAAACGACCCTCGAGCCACTTCCTCTATTTTGTTCTTTTTTTTTCAGAGTGTGTCACTGTCAAGCTCTCGTCCGTCCGCGGGGAACGGGAAGTGCGCGGCGCGGGGCGGGGGCCGGCCCAGAGGAAGGTGGTGGTGGGGGCTGGGGGCGGATTTTGCCACCGCCCGGGGGTCTGGCGAGGGACCTGGGGGAGCCTCTTGCCCCCGCCCCAGGCGGGGAGAACCCGGGCCCACCCAGGGGCGCCCCGGCCGGCCGTGCCCATTCCGCAGGGGGCAGAGCTCGCCTGGGCTCCCTGCGAGCTCAGACCCGAGAGGGTGGAATGACCCAAGTTTTTCTTTTTTTTTTCTTGGAGAGTGATCTCTGTTCATTTTAAACTATTCTGGGAATATTTTGGGCTGTGTGTGTGTGTGTGTGTGTGGTGTGTGTGTGTGTGTGTGTGTATGTGTGTGTGTGACGGGGAGAAGCGGGGGAGATCATTTTAAAGGGACTATTTTCAATTCCATACGGAACAAACTTTTGCATTCATTCGGATTTTGATTTTTTAATTTTTTTTTGGTCGAGTTAGGGGAGTTGGGGGCACATCCCACAGTGCTCTGAATTTACTCCTGGCTGTGCGCTCAGGGACCACACGGGGTCCCTGGGATTGAACCTGGGTGGGCTACAGGGAAAGGAAGCTACTTAACTTACCCTCTCTTTCATTCATTTGGATAGGTAATTGCGCAAAGCCTAGAAAATGGAAGAGAAATCAGTCTTAATATCCCCCTCCCCCACTGCCTTGCAATGTAAATTTCATACAGTGTTGCCATTGCTATCAAATTTCCAAGCAACTTCTGTTTGCAAGGGGTGAACAGTAATCATTTGTCCAGGCTTTGATCTAGCGCTTTCTGTTGTTCTTTGGCATTTGTTTCTTGGCGGTGGTACCCTGGCAGTTTCCACTCATTTTCTTTGAACACACCACACGTGGCAGAGTGAGCCGCTGAGGAGTTAAGTTTGGTCAGCAGGGTGTGAAACGGTTGCTGAGACTTGGGCTCTGCTTTGAGCAAGTTGGGGTGTGGCTCCTAAAATTGTTTTTTTTTTTTTTTTTTTTTGCTCCTTGTCAGATGAAGTGCTTGCATTATAAATGGGTGTCTGGGGGGAGGGGGGGTTCCAATGTTCTGAACTCTGATGTAAATCGGGCCTCTAGGACTCCAACAAAGCGGAGCTGTTCTTTGATAGCTAACACAAGTACATTAACAGCGATTTCAAAAAGCAACTCTTGAGGCTTTTCATCTGCAGACGTGAGCTAGCTGGGTTGCAGCTGGACAGATTGGGGCTGCAGTCCTAGGAACCATTCTGTGCCGGGGGAGGGCTGAGAGGGGTAGCATGGTGGTCACACCCAGCGGTGCTTGGAGCTTACTCCTTGCTCTGCACATAGGGATCATACCTGGTGGGGTTCGGGGTTGTTTGGGGTGCCCAGGATTGAATCTGTGTCAGCCAGAAGCAAGGCAAACATCCAATCTACTGTAGGATCACTCCAACCCTCCCCCCCCCCCCCCCAACACTCCCCTAACCGGTTTTGTTTGAGACCAGAGTGCTCCTTTTTCCGGAGCAAATTCCGAGGCAAATGGGTAAAAGGACTTCGCTTTACTGATGTTTGATTGACATTCAGACTCAAATATGGTCAGCATGGGGATCAGTTTTGACTTTACTGTTTCTTTTGTTTTCATTTTCGGCTTACCTCTGGCTCTGTGCTTCGGCGTCAGGCCTGGTAGTACTTGAGGGATCGTATGCGGTGTCCGGGATCGAGCCCAGATGGGCTGTGTGCAAGGCAGACGCCTTAACCTCTGTTTCTCTCTCTCTCAGAACCCAAGTTTTCATCAGATTTGAAAGTTTGAGTGACTTGGCTTGATTGAAAATAGAACTGTTCCCTTCAAGTGCTGGCCCACATCTGCTGTGTGCCAGATTCAAATCTAATCACTTGTATGTGCAGTGACTCATTTACTTTTCACGGCAGTCCTCTGAGGCCACTATCTTTGTTTTTATTCTTGCCCAGGGGACAGGAATGAAGGTGAGAAATAGGAACCAGAGGTAGTCCAGAGGGTAGGCTGTTTTTCCCTTGCACAGGGCCAACCTAGGATTGATCTCTGGTCCCCTGAGCCCACCAGCAATGATCCCTGAGTGCAGATCTGGGAATAAGTTTGTTTTTTTTTTTTCTCATCAGACCCAAGTGGGTCACTCCTGGCGATGCACAGAGGTTACTCCTGGCTCTGAACTCAGGAATTAACTCTTGGCGGCGCTCAGGGAACCATATGGTATGCTGGGAATCGAACCCGGGTCGGCTGCGTGCAAGGCAAACGCCCTCCCCGCTGTGCTATCTCTCCAGTCCCAAGCCGGGAATAAGTCTTGAGCATTGTCGGGTGTGACTCCAAAACCAAAACTGAAAAGCAAAGAAATCAAGTTGGGAGATTAGAAAAACCCAGTGACCTGCGGAGGTCATAGTGGAGCAGGTGGGATTATTGTCTGGGGAGTCTGGCTGTGACTTCAGTTGAATTGATACTGTCGTTGCCACCGCTGTGTCAGGGATTGAACTCAGGGCCTCGCAGACACAAGGCAGGCTCTGCCGCTGAGCTACCTTCTCCAGCCTCAAGAGTCAGGCTTCTGAGCTGTAAAGTCCCCACGCACCATTTGTGGGCAGTCATGTTTGTGGCAGAGCTGGTGGGTAAGAACTGCAGCGTGCCTCTGGTCCTTCGTCATACACTTGTGTAAAGGTCGCTCTTGTTGGGACCAGAACAGAAGTACTTTTTTTTTTTTCTTGTCTTGAAATGTCAGATTTTGGAATTGGATGTGGCAGAGAGTATTTAAGGTTTGGTCTCTTGGTTCTCACTTCGTTACAAATGAGAAATTAAAAAGAATAATAAATTGGGGGCTGGAGCGATAGCACAGCGGTAGGGCGTTTGCCTTGCACGTAGCCAACTTGGCCGACCCAGGTTCGATTCCCAGCATCCCATATGGTCCCTTGAGCACCGCCAGGAGTAATTCCTGAGTGCAGAGGCAGGAGTAACCCCTGTGCATTGCCAGGTGTGACTCAAAAAGCAAAAAAAAAAAAAAAAAAGAAGAATAAATCAATAAAGTAGTTGCTGGAGAGGGAGGGGAAGAAGCAGAAAAGAAAACCAGGGGCCTGAGATCTAGTACAGCAATTAAGGTACTGCCTTGCATGTGGACCCCGGTTCGCCGTCACCGAGACCTTCTGTTCTCCCCAACCGCCGCCTTGTACTGTGCACGGAGTTAGGGGTGTCCCCTGCATACCACTGGGTGTGTTGGTGTTGGTTTTTCTGGGGTACCCCCAAAGAAAAATGTCAGAGGAAGCCAGAGGAAAAGTTAGCTTATGGAACTTTTGTTTTATTTTGGGACCACATCTGGCGATGCTCAAGTTTCTGCACTCAGCAGAGATCACTCCTGCTAGCGTTCAGGAGCTCTATGTGGTGCTGGGGATCAAACCCAGGTCTGCTGTACAAGGCCAGCGGCCTAACCACTAGGCAATCTTTCTGGCCCCCATATGGAACTTCTGTTCTTTTGCTTTTTGGGTCACACCTGGCGATGTGCACAGGGGTTCCTCCTGGCTCTGCACTCAGGAGTTACTCCTGGCAGTGCTCAGGGGACCATGTGGGATGCTGGGAATCGAACCCGGGTTGGCTGCGTGTGCAAGGCAAACGCCCTCCGCGCTGTGCTATCTCTCCAGCCCCATTTCTGCCACTCCTAAAGGTATTGCCGTTCAGTTCAGGGCACACTTGCCTGACTTGTCAGGGAGTAGAAGACAGCAACGCTCAGATATATTGAGAATATATCTCGTGACACCGGATGTTAAGAAGGGCCAAAGAATATTGGGTGAGATCTGGACTAAAATCATCTCATCCTAACTTGGTTTGGTAACGTTGAATTCAGTAACTGAATGTCTGTCCTTGACTAAAAATGGCA